GGGGTTGCCATCAACTGCTGCTTTGATGACCTTCCCATCAGCAGGTAATGGAAAGAGTGGATCCCTTTTGGAGTGGATCCATTGATCTTGGGCGTAAATACTGTAGTAGTAATTGACAGGCCTGCTGGCAAATCACTAGCTAGGAGCAAAGTCTGTATTCCAGTCAATGAGTCATCAGGTTTTAAATAGATGTCTGTTGGACATAGCAGAGCCACAATCTAAGTCACCAGGAGATCAGTTCTTTTTCAGTTTAAGGTGGCCTGAAAGCAACTAATGCCATAAAGTAACAATTTAGCCCAGGAAAGGAAAAAAGCACATGGTTTATTCTTCACCTACCATTTTTGTAGAGAGAAACACAATGCAACTAACTAACTGGAAATCCCTTTGAATGTTTCTTCATAGTTTCATTTATTGCTTATGAAATAAATCAGAGTAATGATTCATATCTAGACCTTGTCTTTAATAGTGCTAAGTCTGCCCTTGAAAAGCTTCAGAAAGCACATGCAAAGAGACATGTAAAAGACAGTAACAGGTTAAAGATTATAAAGGATTTTTAATCACTTGTGCCATTGATTACATTATCAAATAGTTAGATGTCGGGCAGTCTGTGCAAACCTTTCATCCAATTGGCTACTCTTATGCACATCTCATTGATTCTATCAGATGTGCTTAAGTGTCTTCTCCTTACATGCATCTATGGTATTCATTTCAACTACTCTATGCAATGTAGCAATTACATTCCACATTTAAACTGCTCCCTGGGCAAAGGAGTTTCTCCTGAATTTTTAAAATAGAATTTATTAGTGAATATCTTATATTTACGTTCCTGGGTTTTGACTTCCAAAATGAGAAACGCCTACTCGATTGGACTAAATATTTCCAAAATTTGCCTGTGTTAATTTTGGTGCGTTTCTTGGAGGGTTTCCCTCCGTGAGTGCGGGTGTGTATTTTTCTCGCAGTTTATGCTCCTTACCTCACTGTCACGGTGCTGCTGCCTTGCCCACCCCGTGGCAGAAACACTTGCCGTGCCATGACCTTTCAGGTTACCTGCTGCTGCCATATTCCAGCTCTGCACCAGTCAAACAGTGAAAGCCAGGAATAGCCCTTCACATTTGCAGTATGGAGAGAGCCAGCATTTTGTTTCTGACTCCAAAGTAGTGAATGATTCTGAAACTGGTGGAGCCGTCTAACTAATTGATCCTGCATTTTCCTGGAGATGGCTGGTCAAGGGAAGTTGACACCCTGCCTTATTAACAGGGGTCTGGAGGATGGTGTGGTGGAGGAGGGCAGTCTATCATTTCCACCCGGGTCGATGCCACATCCATGGTCTGGAGGAACACTCAGCAATTAGATTACTAACCTCCAGAGTTCCATAAGGGTAAATGCCACCATATTCTCTCTGCCACCTCACACTCGTTCCAACTCTGCCACTGCACCCACCTCCCATCAAGGCTCATGGTTTACCCCTCCCACTGTTGCATGCAGAATCTTCCACCAATGCCACAAACATGTGATGCACAATATACAGCAGGAGATTGTATGTGTGGTAGGAGGAATGAGACCAACTCACCCACCAATTCCACATCTCCACCTCCATTTTACACACTTTGGATGGGCCAGTCACCGTTCTTTTCATTTCTATTGTAGGTATTTTTGAATCAATGTGTTCAGGGATTTTATTACAGATCTCTACAGCAGGTGGGACTTCAACCCAGGACTTCTGTTTTAGAGGTAGGGACACTACCTCTGCACCAGAACAGCCCCCTCATTTCTGTTGTCCACGTGTGATTTGAATGAGGAACAGAGGCAACAGAGGTAGCACTTCACAGAATGAGTCGCAGACTCAGCTTCTCAGTCTAGGAGAAACCCTCCTAACCCCACTCCCACCCAAAACACCTTCATCTTCCTTGCCCTCCTTGTCAATCCCATAGAGTTTGTGCCGACCCAGTTTCCATCCTACCCTTTTATTTAACTTCTCATTTTTACTTCTCATTTTTCCACTTAACTAAGCTGTAGGCACTGGGCACAGTGAATAATGCCAAGCACTGTGATGTACTATCCCCCGTCAGTGTGGTGGTGACCATCCATAACCTCCCCTTCCACATGACTTTGTCCTTTCCAATGCTGCGTCATCTCTGACCCTTATATTTTTAATTTCACAATTATTGTCCCCTGTGTATCCTAGCATGCTGGCTCCAATCCCCACAAATGACTTGCCCAACTTCCCCACCACAGCAACTGCCCTTGACAACTCCTCTTGACTCTCAGTGAACAAACTCCCAGGACTGACCAGGGCCCACCTACCTGACCAACTTGAAATGACGGCCCTAACTGATGACTGACCAAACTCCTTACCCATATCTGTGTAAATCTCTGACTGTCCTACCATCTAATCCCTGGACTGGTCACAGTTGACCTTGGACTTCTGTGACACCTAAATCTTGACCATGAATGCTTCACGTGGAAAACCATTGATGTCCGAACCCTTGGACTGAATTCAGATTATGCCTTTGACTTACTATGCCGATGTGTCCTGACTGACCATAGAGACCCTTGACTTGACAGAGGACTATTCTCCTTAGAGAGTTTGAGGCGTGGCCATTTATTTGGAGCACAGTCTTGAGGGGTTTGCTACATACTCTCCTGGCACATAGTGATGTTAGGCTGGAGAAATAGTAATGTGGAAGAGAAATAGTGAGAAACTAAATTGATCATTCACTTCAGCCTTCACAATGTAAGATATCAGTAGCATACCAGAACTTAAAGAGAATCAGGGGCAGAGGTGACTGTCATGGCCATCGTTAAACAGCAGGTGCTGGGGAATCTGAAAGATCTGAAGGGTGGATAAATCACATTGACTGGAGGGCTATACCTCGAGGGTTCTGAAGAAGATAGTTGAGGAGATTGTTGAGGTATTGGTGGTGATCTTTTAGGAATCAGTAGAGTCAGGGAAAGTCCCAGAGGACTGGAAAATGGCTTTTGTAACACCCCTGTTTAAGAAGGGGTGGAGGCAGAAGACGGGAAATTATAGACCAGTGAGCCTGACCTCAGTCATTGGTAAGATTTTAGTGTCCATTATTGAGGATGAAATTGTGGAGTACTTGGAAGTGCATGGTAAAGTGGGGCTGAAGCAGCATGGCTTTGTCAAAGGGAGGTCATGCATGACAAATCCATTAGAATTCTTTGAGAAGGTAACAAGCAAGTTAGACAAAGGAAAGCCAGTGGACATGATATATTTCTATTTCCAAAATGCCTTTGACAAGGTGCTGCACAGGAAACCGCTAAATAAATAAGAGCCCATGGTGTTAGGGGCAACGTACCGGCATGCATAGAGAATTGGTGACTGGCAGAGAGTGGGGACAATAGGGTCTTATTCAGGATGCCAGCTGGTGACCAATGGAGTTCAGAAATCTGAAGCACAAAGGGATTTAGGAATCCTGAATTCTCTTAAGGTTAAAATGCAGTTTCAAGCCAAATGCAATGTTGGTATTCATTTCAAGAGGGCTAAAGTACAAAAGTAGTGATGTACTGCTGAGGCTATATAAAAGTCTTTGGTCGGACTGCATTTGGAATATTGTGAGCAGCTTTGGGCCCTGTATCTAAGGAAGGATATGCTGGCCTTGGAGGGAATCCAGAGGAGATTTGCAACAATAATTCTGGTGATGAAGGTCTTATCACATGAGGAACGGTTGAGGAATCTGGGTCTGTACTTGATGTAGTTAAGAAGGATGAGTGAGTATCTCTTTGAATATTACCAAATATTGAGGCGCCTGGATAGTCCGGACATGGAGAAGCAGCTTCCATTGGTAAGCAAAACGAAGTCTGGAGGGCACAGCCCCAGAGTGAAGGGATGACACTTTAGAACTGAGATGAGGAGGAATTTCTTCAGCCAGAGGGTAGTAAATCTGTAGAACTCATTGACACAGAGGGCTGTAAAGGCCAAGTCTATTTAAAATGTGGAGGTGCTGGTGTTGGACTAGTTTGGACAAGGTCATGAGTCACACAACACCAGGTTGTAGTCCAACAGGTTTATTTGAAATCACAAGCTTTCAATGCACTGCTCCTTCATCAGGTGAAGTCACCTGACAAAGGAGCAGCGCTCCGAAAGCTTGTGATTTCAAATAAATCTGCTGGATTATTACCTGCTGCTGTATGAAGTCTATTTAAGACAGAGATAAATAGGTTCTTGATTAGTAGGGGAGAAGGTAAGCGAATGGAATTGAGAAATATATCAGCCATGACTGAATGGCAGAACAGACTCAATGTGTCAAATGGCCAATTCTGGTCCTCTATTTTACGGTATCATCTAGCCATTGAAACACTTTTTGAAAAATCAGACTTTATTTCTTGAAAATGGGAATTTATTTTTACATTCTCACCATATTTTACCAACCATCTTACCGTTGCTCATGTCATTCAGAGGCTGGGAAAATTGAGCTCTATGTTTCTCCCATCAAATTTATCATAATGAAATGAAGTCTTTAGGCAGAAGGGAAATGTGGAGCAAAACAGCTCAAGGTTCTGCCATCAAAAATGCAGAGTTAGGAGAGACCAATATTGAAAGTCTTGAGAACACAAGTTCAGAGAGAGAGAGAGAGAACTAAGAAAATTAATATAGGCACATCGATTAGAGCAATATGAAAGCAGAATGTAACAAAGTGATTTAGGAATCGGAGTCCATAGGGAAAACCCAAAGTTGTCAAAATGCAGTATCTATTTTATGAATGTAAAGGTCATTTGAGAGGCTCCAGACAGTCTGACTGAAGCATTTTCTGCTTCTGGGATGATTTCTGCACTTTGCAACTAAGTGCCTTTTTTGCTTTGTGCTTTTTTAAAAAAAATATTACACCAGAATTTGAGCATGAACCTTCACAAGTGTTGGGCAAGCAATGTATACTAGATTTTTATTTACAGATTATTGATGCAGGTATTTTATATATAATAATTGTACATCATTATAACCCCTGAATGAAATATTAATTTATTTGTGCATTAAACAGATGCAAAGATATTGTCTCCAGCTCATTCTACCTGTCAGTGGCAATATGAGATGTGCACCAACTCATGCACCAGAACCTGTAAAGATCCCACAGGCAACCTTTGTCGAACTCTACCAAGGTATGTGCAGTATGGAAATATATGAATAGGTTGTAAATGCCTGGAACCCTCCAGGCTGCTAAAGAATGGATGTGAAATATTTCAGTAACAAATTAAAGCAATTTAGAAGATTGAAAATTATGATCTTGATTTCTCAAACAAGTTTTTCTATCTTAGGAAGTAGAACTGAGCATACTGTGTCAAAGACTCTACCATGCCTTTGTGCCATGATGTAAGAGGTGCAAGTGTCTGTAAACCGCTGCACAGTAAGATCCTGTGAAATTCTCTTTCCTCAGGCACAGAGAGGGTAGAAATTTCCCCTTGTGGCATAGACAACTACCGATCACTCCTCTTTAGTTGCCAAATGAAGTGCAAGAAAACATTGTCCATGGATTGCTCTGAAGGCTAGGTCTAGGTCCGAAACGTCAGCCTTCCTGCTCCTCTGATGCTGCTTGGCCTGCTGTGTTCATCCAGCTCTACACCTTGTCTTTGCAAACATGTTCTCTCAGTTTGAAATGCCATGTCAGTTTGTCATAACTGCATGTTGTACATTTACAAGGAAAATGATTATTCACACAAGAATGGGAATCTAGTACCAGAGAGATCAAATATCTCATTGTGCAGACTTTTTCATATTGAACAAAATACCACTTCGTAGATGCGTGGCTACTTTGAAATGGTCACCTTTGTCACACAGGTTTGCATGCGATATGCAAGATAAAAGTTCTGTTGCCTGAGTTGTAAATTCACAATTTACTTGCATCTTTATTTTTGAACTTTAGTAAGTATTTAAATTAATTTTGTTGAAAGCCTTTCTTCATCTTTATAGTGCAAAACCATATTATGTGAAAATGCAAGGAAACAATAGTACAACTAGGCCAACTAGGAGCGAGTAGCACATGTGTTGAGAGACAATTTATATCCATGTGCAAAGTGCAACATTAACCCAACAACATACTCTTTTTGAATTGGAGTGACATTTAACCATCTGATATAATAACTGAAAAAATTCCACTTGCTATTTTTGAAGATATTCAGTAAAAATCCAGGCTTTCGAGATAATTTTACTTCAAAAACAGTAAGGAAACGAGTTGACTGAAAACAACAAATGCTGGAGATCTCAACAAGCCAGACAGCATCTGTGGAGAGAGAGCAGGCTAACATTGGCTTGCTGTCTCTCCATGGATGCTTATAAGTATCTGAAGGAAACAAGTTAATTTAACTGGTTAAGTTTAATCATTACAAAATGCACCTGCACTTATTTTTAATCTAGGAATTTATAAATACAGCTTACTGAGAGAACAAGGGTATTTTGTTGCATAAATACAATTTAAATGATTGTTGTTTGATCAACTGAACCATGGCAAAGTATTTACATCTTTTCCATTTTCAGTCTTAAATGTGATCATGTGACTGAAATTAATGATACAGGAGCTTAAATCTTGTGAAGAGCATGCGTTTATCATCCTTTTTTTTCAAAATGAAACAGGTGATGACACAGATAACAAAGTGTGGAGCTTTTGGCTAACAGATTTACTTGCTGAATTTTTGAATTTTTATTGTCATGCGCTGTTTGTGGACTGCTGCAAAACTGGCAGATATGACAGTGCTATTGTTGCATTACCAGTAAGTGATAATATTCATGAATGAGCTCATATGTCTCAGTATCCCCCCACCACACACACACACAACCCCCAACATCCTGCCCACCCTCCACATCGGGCCATCTCCAATTCAGTGGCAATTTCAAGAATATTTATTATACAACTGAGTATAATTTAACTATCTCATTCTGGTGAGCTTAGTGCAGATATGATGCGGTGGCAGCTTCAAGATATGATATGTTTTCCTCAAATTATTGTTTATAAAAAAAAAAACAGACTTGGACAAAAATAATAGTAACAGTATTGGCAAAAATCTGTAGCTCGGGCTGTGGATGAGATTGTTGACTTGCTCGCCGAGCTGGCTTGTTTTTGTTCAGACGATGTCACCTAGCTGGTGACGCAACATCAGTGGAGCCTCTGATGAAGCCATGTTATTCTACTCGGCTTGGAATTTATACTGTCCGGTCTATTATGGTGAGTACTGTCATTTCCGGTTTTGTTCTGTATGGGTTTGTATATGGGGTCCAATTCTATATGTTTGTTGATTAATGTTTAAGTTTAATGATCAAGTTTATCTGGGACAAAGCAACCATAGTAGCCCAAGCCAAACATAGGCACACATGGGAATTGCTAGAGGCATGGTTCTCAACTCAATGCAATCAACAAACATATAGAATTGGACCTCATATACAAACTCATACAGATCAAAACCGGAAATGACAGTACTCACCATAACAGACTGGACAGTATAAATTCCAAGTGGAGTAGAATAACATCGCTTCATCGGAGGCTCCACTGGTGATGTCACCTAGCATGGTGACGAAACATCTGAACAAAAATAAGCCAGCTCGACGAGCAAGTCAACAATCTCAACAATAGTAACAATTTAATATTGAAGGGTTGAAAGTTTGCTGTTAGTTTTTGAAACTTTGGGCAAATAGTCGTTGAATGGATCCAACATAAATGGTGCAAATAAGTTAAACAGATTTCGTTTTCACCCCGAACATGCAACAAATCAACTGAATACATGGTGATTTAAGAGTCTTTAATTTAAATCTTGGTTGTAAGCTTTTAGTAAAATTGCTAAACTCTCAGCACAACTTAATCGTAGGTGTAATGTACAATCATATTATATCAAATTATGAAATGCACTCACCCGAAAATCTGCATCCTGAATTATCTTTTTTTCTCCATCAACACCTCTGCAAACTTAAAACTACTTCATTTCCAGATTTTTTTTCTTTGCACAGCTGTATAAATTTCCTGCATTCTGCTATAATATTTATCCCACCATGATATTGTTCAATAAACACCACGAAATAATATTTATGCTTTTTTCGTGAAAAAAATCCATCAACAATAATCTCTATGTGAGGTCCATTCTTCAATTTTTTTGAAAAAAATGAAACACAAATCCTTAGGCATGTCATGTATGCATGTGCTATGTCTAAGAATTTAAAATCAGTTTATTCGTTTAGAGTATCAGATCCAAGGCTCACATCCATCTGTGCACATTCACAACATTTCATTCTCATATCGCTATTTCTTTGGCTATTTTAAGCTCTCTTTGAATAATGTCGGCTTTTGACAACTGAGTGACCATTTCAGCTTTTAATATCGTCAACATGTCTCCTGTTATACGTCTGCAATAAATATTCCCAACTTCTAGAAAATAAGTTGGAATGAATAGACAAAATGTACATCGCAATATTTTTGAACTTGCACAATTTTTAATTGCTAGGATTATAGTCAAAATAGAATTTCTCCCCCATCCATCTATTTTCCTCCCCCATCTTGACTTGAGCAAGCATTTAGTTACTAAGTGTCTGCAGTTTCCAGCACAATTAAGTTGCTGACTATACATTTACATGTCTTGAATATGAGTTTCCACGGTCAGTATTGGCTCAGTATTTGACCATGAAGAGAAGCACAGATAAACCCTTTCTGTCCTAACCCAATATCCATACATAATATATGTACTTTCCATCCGTTGTTACACGATGTTGATCAGGAGTGTTAATTTTGGGTATTTTAGCTCAGTATTGCTCTGGTAAGATGAGGTGTGCAGATTTTGTTGCTGAACTGGCTGAATAAGCATTCGTATATTGGGACTGAACACACAATTTTTTTACTCATTTTTGTTATTTATATAATCATGCAAATTATGCATACTTGCACACAGTTGTACTTTATTAATACTTCTAACAACTTCAAAGGTAATATTTATATACAAGTGAATTCTTGTATTGCCTGAGAATGCCACATTCAATACCACCTTGCAGAACTGGTTTCTAAATTTATAGAGGTAAAGCCCAGTGTCTAAAACCAGTAGATTAGCCAGCTGCACAGTCTTAAGCCCCACTATTAGATATCTGAAAAGCTATATACATATAAGAAAATATGGCATATTATTAAATAAAAGTCACACAGCACTAGATAGCCTCCTAAATAGGACTACAATTGTCACTGCACTGGAGACAAGATATTGAAACGTGTTTATCAGCGTGGCACAGGTGGTTCCCAAAGGCTGATTTATATTTATAAAAATAACCATGTATTTAACATTTTTTTTGGATGCGGAGTGTAAATGTTTATCTTCATCACCTAAGTAGAGGAATCCAAGTAGTTTTATATAAATCATTAGGACAAATGATTCAGATCTCCCTTGCCAACCTTGTATCTACTTTCTCTTCTCCTGTCGGCACGGACTCCTTGTAAAGCTACAGTTCAGTGCAATTCACCACATTTCAGCACCTTATCTAAGTTTCCAGAGTCCCCGAGGAGCTGGAGGACTGGCAAGTAAGTAAAATCAGGGGTGTTCAAGAGATCAGAATTAGAAACATCCACAGTAAGTGATGAATGTTGAAGCTGTACCATGGTATTTCTGTTTTTTTTTTCAATTCTGGGCCACATAGGATTAAAATGGTTTTAGTGCTGCACAAACACTTAAAATGTATTTCCCATTCCTTGTAATGCACCCTTTAATTTTTTCTAAACTGTTATAGGTTACGTTGTACTTGAGATTCTCGTGTGTTACTCTACACCAAAAAACTGTAATATCCCATGAAGAGTTAAACTGAAATAACAATAAAAAGTTTGTCATAATTTGAACTGCAAATTTTTACATAGAGGGGAGTACTTTCTGTTTCTAAACAAAGGTGGGAATAAAACATGTATGCTATCTATATGATGAAAGGATGAGGAAATCACAAGAATTGCAACCTGACAGAGGCTATTCTGCATATTGTTCCTTTGGAAAGCTGGCACTGGTTCGAATCACGACTACTGCCGTCTTTTCCCCATATACCTGCATGTTCTTCCTTTTCAGATAACAATTCATGCTTGAATGCCTCAATTCAGCCTGCCTTCACCATATTCTTAGGCAGCGCATTTCAGATCCTAATCACTCACTGTAACAAAAATTCTGTAAGTTTCCTTTGCTTTTTTTTAAAAAACCAGTCACCATAAATCTTTGCCGCCTTGTTTTCAATCCTTCCACCAAGAGGAACAACTTATCTTTTCCTTATCTACTCTGTCTGAACTCCGAGATTGTGAATAACACTAGCAGTTTTTACTCAAATGTCTGTTCAAGTAAAACAGTCCTAAGTTCTCCAGTCCCTCTATATAACTGAAGTTTCTCATCTTTGAACCATTCTAGTAAACCTCTTCTGTACTCTGTCTAATCCTTACACACCTTTCCTAAAGTGTGGCACCAGAACTTGATGCAGTACTCCAGTTGAGGCCAAACCTGCATATTGTACAAGTTTAAGAAGCCCTTTTTCATTAATGCTCCATGCTGATATTAAATGAGCTGGACTTACTGTATGCTTTATTAACTGCGCGCTCTCTCTCAAGCTGTCCTGTACCTTCAATGATTTGTGCATATTCTTACCTGGCACTTTCTGCCCTTGCACTTCCTTTACATTTACACCCTTTGATTTATATTGTCTATCTGCAATTTTCCAAAATGAACCATTTCACACTTCTCTATATTGAATTCCATCTGCCAGTAATCCATCTATTCTGCCGACCTGTCTGTGTCCTCTTGATGTTCTGCACTATTCTTGCCACAGTATATTGCTTCCAAGGTTTGTATTTTCTGCAGATTTTGAAATTGAATTGTGCCCCAATGTCTATGTCATTAATATTTGTTACAAAAAGGACCCAAGAGCCAACTATTTGAAAACTTGACTCATAGCCTTCCTCCAATCTGAAAAAAATATTCATTAACCAGTACAGAGATAGTAAGAGCTGCCGATGCTGGAGCTTGAGTTAACACAGTGTGTTCGGAAAATTTTCTGAAGAAGCGTCCTGACCCGAAATGTCAATTTTCCTACTTCTCCGATGCTGCCTGGCCTGCTGTGCTCCTCCAGCTCCACACAGTGTTATCTTCATTAACCAGTACGCCTTGTTTCCTGACACTCAGATAATTTCATATTTGTGTTGCAACCTTCTCTTTTTATCCTATGAGCATTAGGATCAGGGAATGTTCAGGAAACAAAGGTTTGATTTTTTTTTCATTTCCTTGGAGGATAGAACAAAATCTTTTTAAAGATATACATTGTTCATGAGATGGGAGCTTGCTAGCAAGGCAATAATTTATATCCCATCCTGAATTTCTGGTAAGAATGTGACGATAAGCTGCTGCCCTTAACTGCTATAGCCCAGGTGATGTAGGTATACCCACAGTGCTGTGGAAGAGGATGTTGACCCAGTGACAATGAAAGATGACAATATAGTTCCAGGTCAGGATGGTGTGTGACTTGGAGGGCAACATGGTGATGGTGTTCCCTTGTATCTGCTGTCCCTGCTACATGGTAGAGATTAGGGAAAGAAGGTAACTTGCATCAAAAATGAAACAGATTTTGGGGTCCCAACTGATGATAATTTGGAGATTTTACAACAGTGTTCTGTAGCAATGAGCAAGGCAAGTCAGATTTTCAGAAATAGAAGGCCGAGCTTGAATCTAAATTTCAAAAGGATCATGCCACTTTATGAATGATCTGTACAGCCATTTAAAGCATTTTGATAAAATGTTGGTTAAAGGACAGGACACAGTGATTACTGAGTGTTTTGGACTGTGAGCCCAGATAAATGGTCTCCCTTAGGTGTATGCTTCAGGCCCCTGTTCTGCTCAATATTTCTAAATAATTTGTGTTTGAGTATATTGTAAATACCTAATACTTAAAGAGTACTGAATAATCCAATTTTGTTTTCTTAAGTGTGGAAGGTTGTGTACCTCACTGTCCGCTCAATATGGTGTTTGATGAAGATACACAGAGATGCGTGTATCCAGAGGATTGTAAGTGGCTATTTTATCTTTGTTTTCCTGCACATAACGGAGGTTGAAATGTGCCAAAAAAAAATTCCTGACAAAATACAAAGTAATGTAGATATTAGAAAGCTGAAACAAAATATAAGAGAATGGTGGAATTACACAAGATGGTCAGTCAATGAGAACAGATAAGTTTTACATTTTCAGGCACACTCCTGCAGAAATCTAGAGTTGAATTGGTTGTCTTCCCACAAATCTTTGTCCTGTTTTTCCGTTTCTATATGTGTTTATAAGTTAGTCTGCAACTTGGAGTGAAATCAAGCCTTGATTGAAAAGATTGAATGAAAGACACCTGACTGAAACTATGATAGCCCCATGTGAAGTGACCCTGGGCAAACTTAATCTGCTTTCTAAAGCAAATATTTAGGTATGCAACATAGAACTCCCTCACTCTTTAAATCAGAAATCTTATACAAAAGATGTAAGTATATGATACATGTGAAGTGGAACTGAGGTATTTTGGTTTGGGATTTAATAGTGGGACAGATTTAATCCGCTCTCAACCAATCTGTTTTTGAGATTCAAGTACTTAATGCCGATATGGAGTGCTTGAAACAAGGTACAAGCACACAGATACGACATTAAATGTAATTGGGTGATACCCATAGCTATTGTTGTGTATTAGTTAACATATCTGACAGTGCTATTAAATGAACAACTTGTTTATAAAAGAATCAAGTTCATTGTATGTTTGGATACTTCAACATAATAAAGAAAACAAGGAATGAATTTTTTTTTAAGATACAAGGCTATGCAGACTTTAAAGTTTGAGGGTTAACTCCTGATTTCTGTTTAAACAGATGATGCCAGTCAGTTTCAGCAGAATGTGCAACAGTTAACATTTGGGACTTTCGGTGTTGTATAGGTGAATTTATCTAACAATCTGATCTGATCAGTATCAATTAGCAGCTACTGGAAGTGTACATACAAGGGCAAAATGGGCTAGGCTTTATATTTCTCTCAAATAAAGAGTTTGCAGACATTCCTTATCTAGACTGTCTTTTGGATAATAGTCACTGAGCAAGATATATAAAACTCCTGAATTTGGGTTTATAAATATGTAACACCCAATTAGAGCTCACTAAACAGAACTTACATAATTTTTGAGGTTGTTCTGTCCCTGTGCATATATATATATAACTGTGCTTGAATCAGAATTTAAAATATCTGCCTAATTCATCAGCTGAAAGTGTGTTGAGCTCTCAATACAATGAGTAGTATTGAGGATGAATTTGTTGGCATAAATGCATGCTGAATCTCGAATGTGAGCCCGATAGGACTCTGCACAAATTTGTCAGTGCAAATTCCATCCCTGAAAGTAAGCATACAGATGCAGCAGGCAATAAAGAAGGCAAACTTAATATTGATCTTCATAGCGAGAGGATTCGAGTACAAAAACAAAGGTGTCCTGCTGTAATTATACAGGCTGTTGGTGCGGCCACAACTGGAATATCATGCGCAGTTTTGGTTTCCTTATCTGAGGAAGGGTACTTGTGCTAGAGAGGAAATGCAGTGAATGTTTACCAGACTGATTCCTGGGATGGCAAGGACTGATGTATAAAGAAAGATTGAGTCAATTAGGATTGTATTATAGAGTCTTAGTGTCACACAGCATGGAAACAGATATTTTGGTCCAACTCGTCTACGCCAACAATGTTCCCAAACTAAACTAGTCCCACTTGTCTGCGTTTGGCCCATATCCCTCCAAACTTTACCTATTTATGAACTTATTCAAATGTCTTTTAAATGTTGTAACTGTACCTGCGTTCATCACTTCCACTGGCAGTTCATTCCACATAATAATCACTCTGTGAAGGGGGTGTCTCCTAGAAACCTATAAAATTCTAACAGGATTAGACAGGTTAGATGCAAGAAGGATGTTCCCGATGGTGGGGGAGTCTAGATCCAGATGTCATGGTTTAAGGATTATGGGTAAACCTCTTAATACTGAGATGAGGAGAAATTTCTCCAGTCAGATAAATCAGTGAGCCTGTGGAATTCACTACCAGAGAAAGCAGTTGAGGCTAAAACATTGTATTTTCAAGAAGAAGGTGTATATAGCTCTTGTTGCTAAAGAGATCAAGGGATATGTGGAGAGAATGGGATTAAGATATTGAGCTCGATGATCAGCCATGCTCATAATGAATGGCGGAGAAGGCTCAACAGGTCAAATGGCTCACTCTTGTTCCTATCTTCTATGTTTCTATGGAATCCACACATGCACAGATGCAACGATGTAATGTTTTGTTTACCTATTTTAAGCTATAGTCCACTTTTCATGCAGTACCTTGCACGTGTAGAAGAAATTTTAACGAGTGTAATTTAGTCAATGGAAATCAAAAATACATTTACTCATTCATCAATAACTTCCCCAAATGACTATTTTGAATAGTGGAATTACGTTAGGAAAACAAAGATATGATATGTTTCTAGTTTTATTCTATACTGTAGTGAAAACAAACATTTTTATTTATGTATTTTTGGTCATTTACTTAATGGTTTATATATTTTATGTATTGTATGCAAGGTAAAATTCAATTGCAAGTTAATGGTTCTACCAGAAGATACAATACAATGAGGAGTTGAATGAGGCTTAGGCCAATGTTTTCCACATTGCTCACAATCTTCCCTGGGTCTTGATCTTCCCTGGCCCAATCTCACAGGATAGATGTTTCCTGCCCACTCTAGGATCCCCAAACTTGCACTTTTAAAATTCAATCGGATATCCTAATATCCGATTAAGTTCCAGCAGAACAAAACTTCATCCAAACTAGAAAACAAAAAAAAAAGAGTCAAATTACAATTAGAATTTCTAAGGCAAGAACCACTTTGTTGAATAGTAGAAAATTAGTGCAAACTCCAAACGTATATACAGTAAATGTATCTAACTTCTCATTGCTTAAGCTATGTTAAAATTGTAGTAGTCAGGAGCTAATATATACTTACTCTTTCTTTCTTAGGTATTAGACCAGCAGTTTATATTCGGCTGCCTAAACCCACAAGCTCACTGGCATCACCCGGAATATCCACTCCTGCAGCCTTTAATGTTTCAGTCCAAAAATTGACAACACCTACCTTAAGCCAGTATACAGGTTCTCTAATGGCAATGAGGACTGCAAAGACCACTGCTTCCACTCCAACAGTAGAAACTCCTATAGTGACCCATCTGTCACAAGTTCCAATATTGACAACTACAAGCACTTCTCCAAGTCCATCACTGATAGGAACAACCACCTTTGTGCAAAAGATAACCTCTGGAATGCCACCTGCTACAGAACAAACCTCGGTGTCTAATTTCACAAAAAGTACAACATCACCCACTTATGCATTCCCAGTTTCTTCAACAAGAGGAATCACCACCACGACAACAGCTTTGCCTGAAAGGTCAACAATAAAAAAAACCACAACTACAACTGAATTACCAGCAAAATTGCATTTCCTATCCACATCAATTGAAACAAAGCCTACTACTACAGGAATATTATTGTCAACAGCATCTGAAACTGGAACAAAATGGATGACTACAGTTAAGACAATTTCTGCTAAAACAGAACAGCTACCAGGGAAGACTTCCTCTTCCACAACTGCAGTATCTCCTTCAATAGAAACAAAATCAATGACACAAAAAACATTTCTACTTCCAATTTCAAAAGTGACCACAGCATATTCTACTTCAAAAGAAATACAACCCACTATGCTTCCTCCCTTCACCAAGTTAACAACAAAAACCACAAGTTCTAGTTACCCAGTCTCTACAATGTATCCCTTCTCTGCTGGAACATTGTCCTTGTCAACTGAAAAGAGCAAATCATCAACTGCAGGAGTCTTTAGAACGTCGGCAGCAACAGTGCACCCAGCACCTGAAAAATCTACAACATCTTCTCCAATATTAGTTCCAATAACAGAAAGAAAGGAAACAATCACAAGAACTACCACTGAACCCCTTTCAACAGAGAGGACCACAACATTCTCACTGAGTTCAAGAACGCAACCAACAACAATTCTATCCATGGCCTATCCAGCTTTAACTACTTTATTTACAACCTCCAAACAAGCTACCCCAACATCCACTGCTAAGGTTTCTTTAACATCGTCTACCACATTGTACTCAGAAATACCTGCCAAAGCATCAACATCTGTAACATATCCATCTACAACTAAAACAAGCACAGCATTTTCTGGTCACTCATTTCAATCATTATCTACAAAAGGATCGGAAACTAGTTCAACTGTGAAAATATTCAAACCTGTTTCAACTCCACAGAGCATGGTATTGACCTCCAGTCCAACAACAGAACCACATATAACAAGTAAATCAACTTCCCTACAACCAACAACTACACACAAACCCACTTTCAGTCCTTCCCCAGCTGATCAAAGCACTGCTCCAGTGGATACTTCATCTGTTCAATTAACTACATCTCCAACTACAATAGTTCCAACCTCTGTAAGAGTATCCCCCATTTCTATCTCAACATCTAAAACAACCATTGCACCCACAGGAACTCAACTTGGGACAACTACAGTTTTACCAACATTGTTTATAACAAATGCAACCTCAGAAACGCCCCAAGCAAAAACTGTCTCAGAGCTCACATCCACAACCATTTCACATGTAAAAAATGCAACGACATATGCTACATCACTTTTAACAACATCAGCTGCAGGTACTTCTGTTCGCAGTCCTGCTGAAAAGACAATATCTGCAGCAATGAAAGCAGTCGTAACTAGACCCACAGCCCATCTGTCTAAAGCACCACTAACAACAGAAACATCAGTGGCTACAGCAAATGAAACATCTATTACAGGATTAGTTGTTACAACATCAGAAGGAGTTACTAGGGCAACAAAAGCTTTTACTCCGACAGCAACTCCTATTGAAACTATAGGTGTCACAGGAAAAGCAGTATCACCTCAGCAGCTTACAGGTACCACAATACCTGCATCTGCCTATTTAAATAGAACTGTTACCACTGAAAAAAAAATCTCAGTCAAAGCCGCTTCTTCAACAACCCAACCTTCAAGTACTACTACCACAGAATCAGTTCCGTATACATTACATACTTTACCTAATGACACTTTATCTCCAATTATTGTTCCTCATACATCGGAGTCTATAGCAGGCTCAACCATGTTCTCTGCAAGTGCTTACACAACAGCTTTGACCATCCCACCAACCAGCCAATGTGTGGTAAGTAAAAGAACACAGAATATTAATTATCAGCAATTACCGGGTTGACTACAAGGATATGTTTGACGCACTGTGCTCTGGAGACAAAGCAAAACAAGCTCTTCACTTATTGCAGTCTCTGCTTGTCAAAGGTTTCCTGGATTGCAGAGATAATCCCTGGTTTCATTTCTGCACTTGTGATCCCTTCCCATGTTTCGTATTTCCAACGAATGTGAGGACACAATGTCCTCTTGATTACTACGTCTGCCTACTTTCACCTCCATATTAATGCTTGTTCCACTCCTGACATGACCTATTTGCTGCCAAAACCCATTTCCATGCCATTGTCACCTCCAAACATGACAGTCCTAATCCAGTCTTTTGGGGGCTTCCACTTCACCATACTCTATAAACCTGACCCTAGAGCCCATTCACCTTCTATAAGTGTTGCTGCCAGTATCCTAATTGTCACCATTGCCCCATGACCTTTATTGGCTTACAGTTTAGCAATACCTAAATGGAAAAAAAAATTAAATCCTTGTGTTCAAGTTTTGCCATGGCCTCCCACTTTCTCCTCCTCCACTACCACCACCATCACCACCAACCTCAACCCCATACCCAATTCAAGACTTTGGCTTCAAAACCTCTAAGCATTCTGTGCTTTGCCCATACTGGCCTTACAACATTTCCTATTTTCACATGTCTACCTTTTGTCTCTGTCCCTTTGACTGACTGGGCCTTAAGCCCTGGAATTCCGAGTCTCTTTCCTTCTTTAAGTCATCCCCTAAAACCTACCTCTTACATCTGTTGGATGTTAAATTTTGTTTGACATTATTTCTGTGAAACAGTCTGAGACGCTTTACAAACTAAAATCCATATACTATATGACCTTCCCACCATCTTACGGTCAGAAGTAGAGCAGTTCACTGAAGATTTCATAATGTTAAGCACAATTGAAACTCTTCAAATATTGAATCAGCCCAGGCCCATTTGTAGCATAACCTGGTCAACATCCAAGCTTGGGCTGATAAGTGGCATATAATTTTTACGTTACAAGAAGTTTGTTGCTTTGATGTAAACAACTGCCATATTATTGTTCAAATAGAGTGTTCATGTTGCTGTTCACCATTGTTGCACATTGGTATAATAGATGATAAAGTGATGAGAGGGGTTAGTGTGAGTTGGTTTCCTTCCAAAAGAAGTCAGTTGCAAACCAATTGGCCTTAGAAAAGGCTCCTCCACAGCGATATTATTGTCTGGGTTGCCATGACAACCAAAAGGCTGTATTTCCACCCAATGGGAGGAGGTCCCACCCCCAAAGAGTTGCTGGCCAATCAGATTCACAGAACAGTGTATTGGACACTTCAGGGAGCCCCAAAAAGGATCCTAAAGACAAGTAAATCAGGCTTTCTTGTTGAGATTGTTGGCATCAGGCACCCAGGGCATGGGTATAAAAGGTGAAGGGGTGAGGCAGACTTTGGAAGCCAGATAGTGATGCACAAAGTGGGGATGAGGGGGTTACAATCTTAGAGTTTGATTGGCACAGGATACCCCCAAAGGAGGTACTTGCTCTATCGTCAACTTTGGTGAAAACAAATGGCCTGCTCACTCTCACCTGCCTTTCCAGCATCCAGTGTAATTTGTCAGTGCAGTTGGAATGAGGCTACTTAATTGGAGCTGAAGGCCTCACTAGGCCTAAAAGGTGTGCTGACTGTTGCCTTATTTGCCCACTGTGTTATGGTGGATAGTTTGGGGCTGGTGGGAAGGTGATGGGCTAATCTTGTGCACCCTTGCCTCAAACACATATGCCCGCCCACCCACCCACCGGAGGCAGCCATTAATATCCCCTCATAATTTTAGCCTTACCACAATGTAAATTAATCTTGCTCTTCTAAAATGCTTTACAGATTCCATTTCCTCAGGATCTCGATGAATGCATCAAACAAATATGTGTGGAAGGGCAAATAATGCAAATCAATAGATCACATCACTGTCCCTACATTGTGACTCCACCTAGCTGTGAGCTCCTCGGATTTGCTGTGCAGGTGAATGGTGACAAATGCTGCCCACAGTGGGAATGTCCATGTAAGAGATTTGGCTTTGTTCTTGTGCTTTAATCTTAAGATGGTTATTGTTTCATGTAGAATTATTCAGACTGATTTTGTTGGTGCAAAGCTATAGATTGTGGAAACATAGAAAATAGGAACAGGACTAGGCCATTTGGCTCTCCCATATGATCATCAAACTGTATCCTGTTCCTGCTTTCTCCCCACATCATTTGATCCCTTTAGCCCTAAGAACTGCATCTAATTCCTTCTTTAAAACACTCGATGTTTTGGCCTTCATTATCTTGTGGCAGAGAATTCCACTGGCTCATCATGCTCTTGCTCCTTGCCCCTGTCCTAAGTGGTCTAACCCTTATCTTTAGACTGTGACCTCGGTTCTGGACTCTCCAGTAATTGGGAATATCCTTCCTGCATTAACCCTGTCTACCCCTGTTAAAATGTTATATCTTTCTATGAGACTTCTGCTCATTCTCTGAACTCCGCTGAATATAGTGCTAACAAAGTCAGTTCATCAACAAAAGTTCATCACGTGAACTCAGTGGATGGGATCTATTTCAACATTGCATCATTGAGAATATACTGAAACACTGGAGACAACACAGTATGGAGCTGGAGGAACACAACAGGTCAGGCAGCATAAGAGGAGCAGCAAAGTTGACATTTCAGGTCGGGACCCTTCTTCAGAAATTATTGAAGAAGGGTCCCGACCGGGAACATCAACTTTCCTGCTCCTCGGATGCTGCCTGACCTGCTGTCTTCCTCCAGCTCCAAATGGTGTTGTCTCTGATCCCTGCATCTTGCTATCTCCTACTGAAACACTGGAGTTTTATTCAAAAAGTCGGTAACATTACAGCCAAGTCAATATTGTGAGACCTAAACCAGAAGAGAGACTTGCCAAATCACAACTTCAAATTTACTTACATTACTGATTTCAACTCCTCCTGTAAATCATCTTTAGTATTTACATCTGCAAATTGATGCCACAGTCGCATACTCATGTTTAATTTAAAAACAAACTTAATAGGGCAACAGAAAGACCTTGGAAGCTATTTTACTCAAGTCCTTATACTTTTACCTGAAAATGTTAAATTTCAGATTAGCTGATATATTTTGCGACTGAAGTATAAATTCTTGTTGAAGAATAAATGTTAATATCAGCATTTTTTCAATAGTTTGTTAATAAATAATATAATACCACTCAAATGGCAGTAACACTGGTCAATGAAGAATATTGTATTCTCAGATTTTGAACAATATGTTCAGCCATTGTTACATTAAAACATTTCATTTGAATTGTTAGTGTGGATCAGAATAAATTGTTGATTCTGTGTCAATGTATTTAATAAAGTGGGAAATAATTTTACTTGCTAAATATAAAGTTTTGTTTTAATATACTGATACAAAGTGCAGAACAGGTCATTTGTGAGCCTAAACTCCAGGGTAGGAAGATGAAGAGCAGTCTTTAATCTCATATTTTAAAAGCAAAAAATTTTTTTCAAACTTTTACACGACTATTTTACGCCAATTGAGCTGATAAATTAATTGCAAAAACAAAATAGGTGCAGACATAACCCATTTTCATTTACTACTTGAAATTTAAGCTGTCTTGATCAAAAGGTGAATGGTATTTATGTAATTTATTTACTTCACATCACTAAGAGAATATGCTTTTGTGAAGTTATACGCGTTATTTTGCTGTTGGTGCTTAAACATATTTCCAAAAACATGTTTTAATTGCAAACCAGCTAGGCAGACATGATGGAAGATATCAAGACAGATTGCAACGTGAATGCATCTGTTCTTACCGTTACCTTTAACAGGGATTTTTTGATGATTATTTAAAAAGGTACTGGTGCCTTAATGCAATCGGAGGCAGTTAGAGCGTTCAGTTATTGAAAGCTATTAATAAAAAGTAATAGAGGCGTTTGTGTATCTGTAAATAATCTGCCTTCAATTAAGCTTTATTGTGGCTGATCTCATTGTTGTAAATAACTTTGTACGGATAATATTCTCCTCCTGCAACAATTCTGTAAGAAAATTGCAACAAACATTTTTGACAATTATTGCCCCAACTGCATGTTAAATAGTTTTTAGATATTAGCTTTCATGTTGCCACAATTTTATGCTGTCCAGACATGAATGACTCCTTGAGCCACAATCAAACACTTCATTGTCTTAATAAAGGTTCTTTGAAGCTAATTATTTGGATGCTTTCCCCAGTTACAAAATGGAGAATTTCGTAAAGCTCAAGAAAACATATAACTTTGAGGACATCCAAGTTACATTTAAAAAGGTTAAAATTCACAAGTGATGTCAAATTAGACAAATAATAATAATGGGTGAAAGAGAATGAAAGAAGATGGCAGTACAAGCGGACTGTTTAAATATGACTAAAATACATATATTTCAATATAGTTATTATTTCAATGGTGAATGTACTCCTGAAATTTGAGTATTTTGTTAAGGCAATTTTTTAAACATTATACACAGCTGAGCTGAGTTCAGCGCTTTAGTCAGAGCGATAAAGCTTTCATATGTAAATAAAATATAGAAAATTGAATTATTATTGAAGTATATTTAAGAATAGTAAATTAAGTAAAATAGACAAGATAACGTATATGCTAATATATCTGAATGGTAAATGAAAGGGAATAATAATTCAAGTGGCTCAAATAGCCTGATAAATAGAAAATAGAGTCTTGACTCATTTGCCATTATTATTTCTTTAACCCCAAAATGTGTTATGTCATGAATTGTAAATAATGAAGGAAAAAGGGAAAATAGAGGCAATGTGCTTAATATATGTTAGATCAAATTCATCGCGTGAAAGAGTAATATAGTTAATCTATGCACTATGTAAGTTAATTGGCTTGCTTATTAAGAGGGCAGATGTAATCTACATTTAAGCTATTTAGTCAGTGGAGATCTCAGCAAACAGGTTTCCACAGAACATGAAATATTTATAATATTACAGCAGTGTAGATTTAAAAAAAACTTTTATGCAGCTTTCTTAACTACAGCTGTGGGACTTTGATAAATATTCATGAAGCAATCATTAAAATGTGCTGAAAAATGCATTCACTTAGGCTTAAGTTTGGGAAAATCCATTTGCCTTGTGTTATGAACTGTAAGGAGAAAGCAATTAAATAACAAGATCAACCATATTTTCCTGCTAATTTTCTATATCATACCCTCAACTAAAATCCAGAATTGTAATGAAAGCCTGAATTCTAAATTGCTTGATGTCTTTTGAAATAGAAAGTCTATTTGGAAACCCACCAAATTACTTGGCAAGATGTAAAATAAACAGAAACTATGCAGAGGCTGTCATAATTGTCTTGTAAAGAACACCTGTCTATAACAGGCCTCCCACTCAACATTAAATTGACGATTGACATTTAAACTTGTGTTAAACATTGCTCAATGAACAGAAATATCCCCATGTCCTTTCATAACAGATAATGAAATAAAATTTGAAATGGAGGTGGTTTTCCCACAACTCAGTGAAGAAAAGAAGCATAGTTCCAAAATTCCAAGCTGATACTCGAGCTTAAACTTCCCAATTTCCTGTCCGGGTGTCTCATCATATCTGGTTATTGGCAATGACTCAGAATGTTCACTCCTGCACAGAAGGCATATCACCCTGTGGGTTGCTCATCAGGTCAGCAGACTTGCAAAGGACAACCACCAGATGATCCCTGGCTCCCACACCATTTTGATGGTTGGAGCTAATTTTATCATAGGAAGGCTAGACACAATTTTACACCACTGACTGTTTCAGAGGATAGAGTGTGGAGTTGGCCTGATGCCCATTTAAAGTGAGCTTCCACCTTCTTAACTCAGAACTGTCTTTTAACTTATCAATTATTATAACCCGTTTTTGAATTGTGTTATCTCTTGCCATTCCTCTAAAATTTAGTTGCACTGCAACGAAATTCCACAACCGTAAAGGTGAGAATAATGTATTGCTTTTTCTTTATCTTAAGGGGATACATTGCCACAGCTTATCCCTACTCCTCAGCATTGCAAATGTTTCCCTCCTCCACTCCATGTGCTACGGCTTCAATTACAATAGAACAGCACACCAACTCTATTTCTGAACAGCCGCAAACTGTATTCTTATTTTATCCTGGGAACAAGTGAAACGTTGTTTTCTGCTAACTGCTTTTATAGCAGACCCATTTTCTTGCATATCACCATCTTCCCATCTTGTTCACAAATTGCTGCTTCTCGCTCTCATCATGCTCATTTTATGAAGTTGACTCTCAAAATTCACAAGCCTTTTCAAAAATCATATACTAGTTCATTTCCACACCTGCACAACACACTGGCTCACAGAGGAACCAAAGCAGCAAGTCTGAGACTCTGTACACATCCTCAACTAAAGCATCAATGTCTTGGCTCTAATCATCAACAACAGACAGATCTGAAATAGAACAGGGATAGCAAGTCCTACAACAATATTTTTGTTGCACTGCCACCTGAAAACAGAGTAAAAACCTGCCTCACAAATAAAAAGTGGCAGTGATGCTACTTTATGACAATAACTTTTTTTTTTAAATACCACGCAAGAGAACAATTAAACTGTTATTCAATAATGAAGAAAGTGCTTGTGTTATTGGATGCTGCGGTGGTTGAGATTTGAAGATTTGTGCGTATGTTATGTGTTTTTGCATTTTTAAAATATTTGCCATCTTTCCTGACCTACCTATGCTATTTAAAATGTGTATCGTTGATATTAAGTAGAAGTTTAAAAAGGTTTTGCTAACATTTTTGTAATTATGCTTGTACTGATTAAAGTCATTGTAAAAACATCATTATATGATTTGACTGTGATGTGAAAGTACTCTCACAGACTTGTTCGTTCCCTAAATAGCAATCATCCTCCTTTGAAGCTCAATTTACTGGGAACTAGGTTTTAATAACAGCATAAGCTTTTTTAATTTTTGTAGGTCGGTGTTCCATTCTCACTAATCTACACATAATTACTTTCGACGGAAGTGGCTTTGGCATTTCTGGAGCTGCTTCGTACATTATTGCTTCACTGGCAAATGAAACCATTATTGTAGGGATCAGCAAATGTCTCAGCAACCAGATGGTAAGTGTTCAAGATAATGTAAACCCCTGAGAATCCATGTTGCCTCACAGCATAAAATACAAGGTTGCCTGAATTTCTCCAGCTTTCTAATTCTTAAATATCCCTCATCTTTCAACACTACTACCTTACTTTTAATCAAATGTGCTTTGGAAGCCAACTTCAATTAAAGGAATTCCTTGGCGTCTATTTAAATAATTCAGTGCAGTGTTACTACACTGGTATTTGTTATAAGAAAAATAACATTGACGTGAATGTAATCCATTTGCCTTGGTATGAAGAAGTTCGCAGCTGGTTCACTTGAGCTCTGTAGCAAGTGTTTATAGGTTGTATATGATCTGCATAACTATTGGGAACATTGCAGATCAGATCTTTTTTGGCAGGTTTCCCCATTCTACTGCTGGTGCTGCCTCTTGCTGTTTGGATTGGAAGCAGTGGAAACCCTGCAATCAGTAGCTCAGGTGACTATTCTTTGTCAGTCAACCGAGACAGTGAGCAGTTTGTCAGCCCATTTCATTATGGTGGGCATTGGAACCAAGCCTGATCCTCTCCGCTCAGCTAGTGCCCACATGTTCTAACAAAGAAATTCTCAGATGATACTCATGAGTAGGAACCCTGGTCAAGTCCCTCCTCACCCCCTGAGGTCAATTGTAACACCCCTATTCTTCCATCAGTTTCAATGGAAAGTCAGAACACATGAAAGATCAAACATGTTAGCTTGTACGCAGTTAGCTTTGCTGTTGAGTAAAAGCTTATTCATATTGTTCTCATTGCATGTACTTATCATATTTATTTCCAGAAGATAAATCAGTTTCCTGTTTTGAAGTACGTAATGCACTATTAGTAATGTGTGTTGAATGAGCAAAAGTGATTAAGGGAATGGGATAACGTAGGGAAATCAAACTACTTTAGTACCTCTCTATCTATAGTTTAATCATTGAAGGAAAAGATGGTGCATTGCAATTGATGGTGATGTCTCCTGGCATAAGTATTTGCTTCTCAGATCTTTGGGAAAGAAATCAACCCATAGTTTAGTTTTGATGTTTCCTGCCACCATTCAGTTTGGATGGGTGTAATGTGCATTTCAAGTTTTGTATAATTTCACCTACTGGACTGCTAGAATGTGATGCATGTGCACAGCATATATAAACAAAGATTTGTACACTGAAATCAAATCAGAAATGAATAGTCTTCAGTCTAAATGCAAGCACTGATTTTCAACTTCCAATGGTAGAAACCTGTTGTTTGTGTTCAATTTTAATTGTTCATTCACAGATGGCCATACTTTCAACTACTGATAATCTAATGTTTGGAATTTCACTCCTTCTGGACTGTCCTTTAAGATGCTTCTTGAGATCACAGTTTTGGCTGCATGTTGCACTGTCAAAGATCTCTTTAAAACACTTTCTTTTTCAATAGTGCGTCCATGAAACAGATTAAAGCCATTTCTGGGCTGAATTTTACATTGGAACGATGCATTAAATGATGTCATGAACCCAACATCATCACACTAGTCTGCCATAAACACCAAGGTCAGCAGGCCACCTTCCCAATAAAAGACTATGAAAGATCTGTTTAACATGTGATTAAAGGGGTTTTCAAATCCAGAAGAACTGGGATAAAACATTATTCCTGCCACAGTGCAGTGG